CTTTCTCACTTATCTCTTCCCAGTCGCTGGCTAAGAAACTTCGAAGCCCTGAATTGCAAAGCTTTCCATTAAATCTGTTGGAAGGAGGGCTAAATAGATAAGTGTCATTTCCTTGAGGGCTATCCTTGCTACAAATGCACAACTTAGACCTCATTGTGGCCTTCCAGTACTTGAAGGGAGCTTATAAACAGGAAGAGGAACGGCTGTTTATGAGGGTGGATGGTGATGGGACAAGGGGGAACGGTTTTAAACTGAGACAGGGGAGGTTTAGGTTGGATATTAGGAGGAAGTTTTTCCCCCAGAGGGTGGTGAGGCACTGGAACAGGTTGCCCAAGGAGGCTGTGGATGCCCCATCCCTGCAGGCATTCAAGGCCAGGCTGGATGTGGCTCTGGGCAGCCTGGTCTGCTGGTTGGTGACCTGCACACAGCAGAGGGTTGGAACTGGATGAGCATTGTGGAGCTTTTCAAGCCAGGCCATTCTATAATGATTCCATGAACTTCCTAGACCTTAATATGGCCTGCATTCCACTCAACTATCTTTAACTATTTTATTCCACATAACAAGTCCAGCTAAGAAGCAACTTTAAAAAAAAAAAGACACAGCATCATCGGGCCACGATTTCCAGTTGTGATGACATCCAGATGGCAATCTACATTTTGTGAACAGGAAGCGTATCTGTGGATGCATGGAGCTAAGTGAAAATGCCTATGGAAGTCTTAAGAGCAAAGACTGTAAGAACTTTGAGCGTGCACAGAACCTCACCTGCTTGTCCCACCTTTACACCTCACTTTCACACAGCAGCAATTCGATGCAGTTTCAGCAACAGCCACGCTTACATGAAAGTAAATCCACTGTCACTTTTATGACAGCACTGATTTATGGTCTCAGAAGCTGAAGCCTGACATTGCACTCAGAGTTCAACCTCACATAAAAAACATGGCATAATGGTCATTTGTAACTGACTGTAATTGATTTATAATTCATCCACCTTAATCTCATGCTATCTCCGGGACAGAATTGTTCGCTGAACATCCCATGAAGTCTGATAAGAACTATGGGGAAAAAAACCCACTACTGTAACAGCAGAGGCAGTTATGCAGCAAAGTTTTAACAGATTTATGAGCAACCATACGAGACTTTAAAACTGCACTGCAGTGAGTATTCACCAGGCTCTTTGGGGTCCTGATACAGGAGTTTTGTCCTACTGCAGTGAAGGCTGTATTTTAGGAGCTCACAGCTGGGCTCCCTGTGAGGTCACAGAACAGACTCCCAGCCAAGCCTGCTCACGCAGGATGTTTTTAGCTACACAAAGTTACCAACTTTCTTCCTCTCTATGGACAGCCTGACTTTACAGAGAGAAGATGTGAGAGGCACACACAGCGTTCATTCCACACAATGCTACAAATGATGCCGCTGGGGTTCGTTGCCTAGATAAAGTGCAAAGAGGAACACAGCTAAAACAAATAGAGCCGAACAGCTCAGCGTGGAGCTGCTAGCACAGGGATAGAAATAAGCACAGAAGTGCAGCACTGCCCTCATCTCCTTTGTTCAGAAAAAACATTTTTGTCTCAAGTACTATTCACAAGCATGTGGCAGTGCACAACTGTACCCCATTCAGCATCAGTATCTTTCTTCCCTTGAGACCAGACTTCTCATCTGCCATGCAGCCCATGACAGGCGCAGTCTGGATTATTTCAGTGCTGTGTGCTTACTTTGCTCAGCACCTCAGATCACAGCCTGACAATACCAGTGTGCATTTTTGCACATGACCATCTTCTCTCTATAATACCTTTACTTGGCTTGCATAAAGTTACTCTTAGAAGGAAGATTCAGAATGAAGCCAGGGTCTCCAAATAACATTGAGTAAATGGATCCTTGCAAGGGAAGCACACAAATGAGAGAAAAGCCAGCTGCAATAGTCTGAGAACAGAAAACAGTGCTCTGGGAGCCTGTCGAAAGCAGCACTAACTTTTCATGTTACTACTTACACTGCACTGTCACATTTAAAAGAAACAGGCCTTGGCAAGGAAAATAAGCCCAAGCTACTCCTCTAATAGATTTATGAGTTTAACTGTCAAGTGAAAACTAGACTGGCTTTTTTTTTTTTCCTTAGAAAGTGCATTAATGAAAAATCTACAAATGCGTTTAATTTGAACAAGCTTTCCTACAAGCTCGATAGGCAGGTCAGAAAACATCAGCTTCAGCTTGGGACAAGTAGCAATAATGGCTGGAAAGTTTAACAAGTGAGCAAAATTTCAGAAAAAGCAGAAAAAAATGCACTGCATCATTTTCCTACTAGCTGTTGACCTTGACAATCTTCTTATGCTCTGGCAGCTGCTGCTCTCAACCACTGAGTGATCACATCAGAGACAGCAGGACTTTGCTGTAGTAGAAGTCTGAGATGCTCCTGAAGTTGTTTCCATTTTGTTTTGTTTTGTTTTATCCCATTGGTTTCCTTTCCAAATCACCCTAACAAGATTTTACAAACAATGTTTCAATGCAGAAAAGTTAGAAGCATCACTGAATCTGAACTCCTAAGCACGTTAAAAGAGAAACACAAGAGATTTACTGCCGCTACGTCAACCCTCAACCAACTCCAGTAACTCCTGACACCAGAAGACGCACAGCGCCGTGCAGGCAGAGCACAGGAACAGAACTGGTGAAGAAGTGGTGCAGCTGCAGAGCAGGTGGGCTCTGAGATGCACGACTGAGGCACAGCCAAGATGCTGTGTATGGGGAGCACGCCGGGTGCCATCCTAAATATGCTCTAAAGGAGATTATGAACCCAGTGTCAGTAATCACCTGCACCAAGGTCGGACCAAGGGCAAGCAGGACGTGGTATTTCCATCTGCTGTCTGTGCCGGTGGCACGCTGGGTCAGCTGCTGGCTCTGCACAAGTTTAGGAAGGCCCAGCTCTGAAGGTAAGGCTCTGCACCGATAGCATGGGAGGCTTTGTCCAGAAACCAAAAGGAATCCCACTGCAGGATGGAATGAGCTTCACAGCAGTCTAAGCGTCAATTAACTGGACAAATCTGTGACTGCTGTGATCACTTTTTCTGATTTCCTGAAGCAAACTGCAGCTGTAAGACCAAGTGTGAGCATCTCACTGCTCAAGGACAAGGCCTAAGCTGAACTTAAAACTCAAAAGGATATTTGTTTTACTGAACACAGATCAGTTATTAAGTCAGTTTTCAAGACATACAGCTCTTACAACGCCCTTCTCAAACACAGCCTTGTCTGGGCATTTATGAAGTATTAAAGTGTCTGCTTCTATTCTGGAAAATGTATTTCTGCAGGACACAGCAATTCAGAGCTGTCCAAACTTGGCAGTTCCTACATAGCTCTGTTTTCTCCTTTGTTGTTTTATGCTTTCAATCTATAACAGAACACGATGAAGTTTATAAAGAAGGAATTAATTGATCTGTGTCAGCAGGCAACGAATCCCAATTTTGCAACCCCACTGAGCTCCTTTCTAAGAAGTTTCTTACACTGGAAGCTCACTTGCATTCTTACTTTGTACTGCCTTCCAATTTTTTCCTATGCGAGAGGTTGCAACATTCCCCCCCTCCCATTTTTATTGTATAGTCAGAATTACGTAAAAGAAAAAATAAAAAAATAAAATAACCAAACAAAAAAACCTGCTTAGAGCTGCTGAATTCACTGCTTATTTCCTTTATCCTCCCATAAAATCTCAGCCTCTGAACCAGCAAGAGGAGTGTCAGCAATGGGAACCATTTTAGAATCTTAACTGCAGTGAGTGCTGTCAATGCAGCACAAATATTATGTTACTTAGAAGCAATCAGGTGTGAATTGCAAATATCAGATCTACTACAAACACTAAAATAACTGAGAGTAAATGTAGAAGGGGTAAAAATAAACCGACAGAACCTCCTAATAATAGAACTATAGGATTTCAAAACACGCACGCGTTAGAAAAGCACAAATCACTGTAAATTTACTGACAGAGCATTGATAATGAAGCTTTAATAACCCGAAACAACCAGACTGAGGAGCTGGCCTTCCTGCTTAACAATACAGGAGTATAATCCCCCAGATAAGTTACTGGGGCCTTATAACTCTTATTCTCTTCTCAACTATGTTCAGCATTTTTTTATTAACGTATTTAGGAAGAGTTCATAGAACGGATGCAGAGATTTATTGTTCCAAATGAGGGTGGTTTGACATTTTTAAGATCCTTAGCAGTTAAAGCCTCAGAGCTACAGAACAGCACAGGACGACCCACCCAAAACTGCCACAGTTATTTAATGACTTGCTCTTTTTTTTTTTTTTTTTTTTTTAATCTGCAGTTTCAGGAATGCAAATCAATCTTCCATGCCGTGAAAAATTACCTTAGAAATGACTCTGTCTGGCTTTTCTAATTTATGATTTAATCAAATTCTTTCGAGTTGTTTTTCTGGCCTTTCAGGTAAATCACAGGCACGCAAATCCCACCTGCGAACACCATGCCCAGTTACAAAAAAAAGCACAACGATTCACCCAGGCGCCCTTATGCATGTGCTACATGTTTACTAAACCGTCCCACGGCAGACAGAAAAATCCAAGCCAGCACTCGAGGCTCAGAGGCTGTAACAGCAACGCTTATAAGCAGCACCGCACAGCCGCTTTCCCGAATATCAGCGCTGGGATCACGTCGCCGCCGCTTTAAACGCCACCTCCGATCCTCCTTCGCTCTGTCCGTCACCTTCAGAGCTCCCCGCGCTGGATCCGGGGATCGCACGCAGGATCAGACGCGGTTACATAAGGCCACGCGCGGAGCCGCACGACGCATCGCAGCGCGGTGAGGGCGGATATCCGCGCCCAGCTCCGCCCGCCGGTGCCCGAAGCCGCCGAGGGCCGCGACGGGGCCTGCCGGCGCTCGGCCGGACGGTGAGTTCCCCGCTCGGTGAGGAAGGTCACGGAGGCCGCCGCCCACCCGGCGGAAGCTCGGAGCCGCCCCCGGGCCCGGTCGGAGGCCGGCGGTGCGGCGGGCGGGCCTTACCTTTCTTGGCTTTCGGGGAGTGCCGCCGGCTCCGGGCGCTGGCTCGCTCTTCCTCAATAGCGGCGGCTATCTCCGGGTCGTCCTCCCCATTGTACCACACCAACAGCTCCTCGCCGGGCGCGATTGGCTGCGGGGAGAGAAGAGAGAGGAGCGGAACCAATCAGCGGGCGGCTTGTTGGCGGCGGGCCCCCGCGCGCCGAGGGAGACGTCGACCGCACCCCCTGGCGGCCGGAGGGCGCGCGGCGCAGAGCCCCCAACCCCGCCCCCGTAGAAGCGGGCCCGGCGGCCCAGCAGCTGCCGCAAGGACTTCAGCCCGGGCACCGCGCTACAGCAAGGGTGGCCTGAGACTATTATTGCAAGTCTGAAGCCAAAGGGGACTTTTGTATAAGGAACAATAGCAGAATCTGTTCCTTCAGAAGCACTTTTTTTTTTTTTTTTTTTTTTTTTCCAGAAGGCCTCACAGCACTTGACAGAGGCAATAGAATCGCAGAATATCTGATAAGAATCATAGAATATCTGATAGCTATCTTTATGTCCTGACACTGCAACAAGAGATGCAAGTGTTGAAGTTATATCGTAACTTATTAAGTTAAGCATTTAGGTTGTAATATAAGCAAAGCCTGCTGTTTGGCTTCCTTAACAGCTCTGCAGGGCTGATGCGATGGTAGTAAATGTGTTTCACAGAACCACAGAATGGTTGGAGCTGGAAGGGACCCTAAAGGCCATCAGGTCCAACCCTGCACTGAGCAGGGACACCCACAGCTCCATCAGCTCCATCCCCTGACCTTGGGTGCCTGCACCTCCTCTCTGGACACTCTGTGCAGTGCCTCACCTCCCTTCTTCCTTATATCCAACCTGAATCTCCCCTCTTTTAGCAGGAATCCATTTCCCCGTCCCATCTCCACACACCCTGCTGAAGAGTCTGTCCCCTTTTGCTTACAGCCCCTTTAGACACACGGGCCGCTCTCAGCTCTCCTGCAGCCTTCTCTCCTCCGTGCTGCACAGCCCCAGCTCTCAGCCTGTCCTCACGTTCCATCAGGGAGCGTTGCTGTGGCCCTCCTCTCCATCTCTGCTGTACTGACGACCCCACATTTGTGCTCCAGGTGAGGTCTCACCAGCACATAGAAGAGGGGTACAGTCACCCCCCTCAATCTGCTGGCCACGCTGCTGTTGGTATTTGCACAGTTCCATCTTGCAGCCGGCATAAAGAAGAGTTATCTGATGCAAATGACTTTTCAGCCATATACAAACTCAGAGAAAAGAGCTGGTAAAACTGGGCAATGCAAACACATGATAACAAACACGTAATTTGTTAGTTCCGTGGCTGGAACTGACATTCAACTTGATGAATTTAGCTTTAGAGCAACGATGCTAGAATCTAAATTAAGCCCTCTAACTTTGTACTTCTAAAATGAGATACAGCAGCCACGTCAAAATTCGACCATCAAAAGAGCTCCATCAGCAGCAACAGGAGGGAGAAAAGGACCGCAGTGACCAAATGCCACTTCTGCAGCCTCCAGCAACACCCCTGACAAGCAGCTTCCTCCAGACTGTCACCTCTAGATCATATTGTAGCATCAGGTTGGGGCAGCGGTGATAGAAGGCTGAGATAGGCATTTACCTATCTGATTTGGTGTTGCAAGCAGGAGCAGAGAGGTGATTGTTCCCCTGTATTCAGCACTGGTGAGGCCGCACCTCGAGTACTGTGTCCAGTTTTGGGCCCCTCACTGCAAGAAAGATATTGAGACCCTGGAACGTGTTCAAAGGAGGGCAACAAAGCTGGTGAGGGGTCTGGAACACAGGCCATATGAGGAGAGGCTGAAGGAGCTGGGAATGTTCAGCCTGGAGAAGAGGAGGCTCAGGGGAGACCTCATTGCTCTCTATAACTTCCTGAAGGGAGGTTGTAGTGAGCTGGGGGTCGGCCTCTGCTCTAGTGTCATCAGTGATAGGACCAGGGGGAATGGCTTCAAGCTACGGCAGGGGAGATTCAGGCTGGACATGAGGAAGTATTACTTTTCAGAAAGGGTGGTCAGGCACTGGAACGGATGCCCAGGGAGGTGGTGGAGTCACCGAGCCTGGGGGTGTTCAAGGAAAGACTGGATGTTGTGTTGAGGGACATGGTTTAGTGGGAGCTGTTGGGAATAGGTGAACGGTTGGACTGGGTGATCTTTTAGGTCTTTTCCAACCTTGGTGATTCTATGATTCTATGATCTTACTAGAACATGCACTTTTCACTACTGACTTTGTATTTTACTGCTACTCTGCTCTCTTGCATTTGGATGTGGCCTTACCTCCCCAGCTGTAACCACAGCAGACACTTTGTGGTATTGGTGTTTGGGTCTCTTTTCACTCTGTTACTATTTTACGCTGTGTTCCCCGAGTTATTGTAAACCTGTCTGACGAAACATCTTTCCATAAACAAATTAATTTCACCTTAATCAAGGACACGATCATAGCTTAACTTATTTAGGAGACTTTTTGAAACTGAGTTTTCACTGCAATTTACCGTGTGCAGAATAACACCATTCATCTAGCTCATTTAATTAGCAGAGACAGGAAGAACTTCTGAAACCTTCTAACCAGTTTAAGCTGTTTCAGTGAAATATGACAACTCTCATACATGTATGCTGGGGAAAACATATGCAAAACAACCTACAAATATCCTCAGTTCTTCAGTAAAGAGGAAGAGAAGATAGAAGACAAAAATAGTCGCTTGTGCTTAGTTCAAAATGTTATCTGAGACCTCATTACCAGTCCCCAGCATGAAATTTTACCTTACTTTTCATGTATGGCAGAGAACAGGGAAATTAAAGCTTACAAATTAAACTTACAAATCAGAACCCCCCAAACAAACACCTGGAGAAAAAATTTACAGCATTTAAAATGCTGCCAGGTAAGGCAGAACAAAATGACATACAAGCCACTAATTTTCTGTTGGGGGTAAATAAAAACTGTGCTGTTTATTTATCACTAAATGGAATTCTCTTGAATTTATGAACTACAAAGAAGATCAGGAAGGGGCCATTTAGGAACACTTTATCAAAACCTGAACATGTGAGCTGTTATTAAATACGTGCTTTCTTCTGTCTTGCTGGTCAATAAAGTGTGATGTGAATCTAAGATTGATATGGACACTGTAAGGACAAATTCATCTCCCACACAGAAAACGAGACAGAAACCAAGTCTTTAAATAAATGGGAGATGTATAAACAACACTTTGTAAAAAAGCAGCAGAAAACAGCACCATTCTTTTCGAGTTTGAAACTGCAGGGGAAATTAACAAGTTATTGGATAGTGAGAGCTGATACAACAGACAATAAATGCCTTCATGCTGCAACTTGCCCAAGAGACCACAAATTTAAAATCACTTCTACATCATCCCCCTACCTCTGCTGTCAGTTTCTCGCAGCTCAGCTTTCAATTTCTTCACTCTACTGTTAAGAAATTTGCTTACCCTAAATTTGTCACTTCAAAAAGTAACTTTGGGAAGTGCTAGACAATGCCACCCTTTGGCATTTTATATTCTTGGAGCAGCTAAGGCAGACAGAATATTGGGGTGATTATCATTACAATTATTAGCATTAATTGCTATTAAAGAATAGCCCATTCATGCAGTCAAAAACTTGCTAAATCTTGACATGATCCAACATGATCCACTGACAATGCTGAGTGTTTAAAGGTGGTGAAAACTGTCCAATTTCACGACAAAATCCCACTTCAAAAACCACAACAAATTCACGTGGTCAGAATTTTCCAGACGTACCACTTAGAAACACAGAATTATTTAGGTTGGAAAAGACTTCCAAGGTCGTCAAGTCCAACCATGACCTCACACTGAGCTGCCCTGTTACCTGTGTGCCAGTGGCTACCGAGGGACAGCAGGGAGCTACCAGCCCATGCGCCATGGCTGCAACACTCCTAGGAACAGCTCGGTCACTTCTGAGCAGTACGAAGCTGGGAGTGTTAATATGAGTGATCTCAGCCTCGCAGGGCTTGCTCAGGTATGTCCAAGCTGTGTTTCTGGAGCTACACACGCAAGGCAGAAACAACTCAGTGGTTCTGTAGCAGCACTCAAACCAAAAGCTACTCACAGATGCTTCTGCACTGGTGACAGCTATAGCAACAAGCCTTCACACATAGGCAGCTCGGAGGTAACACTGTTTCTGGTGTCAGGCTCCCTCCAACCAGCATACATCAGCTCCCAGATGCTAGGCCATGATTCCAGGATTGGCACTGCTAACACCAACCTGAAGCTAAACCGACCCCACAGAGTGCACGGAAAGGCAGAGCACAGAGTGGCTGCTGAAGGAGCAGATAAACACTGCTGAACTCAGGACTGCTCTGTGAAGAAACCCACTGCATCCCAGAGAAGCTAGACGTTCCATCCCACTGCAAGCAATCCCTGATGGATTTGAAACAAAAAAATAAAAAGGAGCCTTATTGGATGCTCCAGCAGTCTTCAGGAAAAGCTGCTTGGCAGCATGATCTTGCTGGCAAGATATACTGGGATAAAATTCATCAGGTTGCAAGCTGAAGAAGACAGTCAAAGCAACAAAAGGTATTTCAGATATTGGAGCCAGATATTCGTTATCCTGTCAGCACTGCTCAGCCTTCGTTTAGCAGTACAATTATTTTCCAAAGTGCAGTATTGTCTTTGAGAAAACAGATCTGAAATATGAACGTTGTCTTTATCACAGCTTTGCTGGAAAGATTCAACAAGAGAGAAATGTAAAAAGTGTCAGAGTGACTCCAAAAGCTCACTTAGATAAATGAGTTAGTGTGACTGTGGGCAAAGATCAGGCAATCCATGATAAAACGTCTAGAGCAAAGTAAGCTGGCTGCAGATGAGCCCTGAGAGCACACCCCCAGTGAAAGAGCAGTACAGACAAGCCAGTCTGGCTGATAATATGGAACCTGTACTCAAATGCTATGTCAAAGCTATCAGTAAAGCTCAGAAAATATTTAGAGGCTTTTCCCAATTGAGCTTTACCTAAAATGCAACAGTTCTACATACTTTTATGTTACCCTATAAACTTCAGAACTGTACAGAATCAACTCTTCTTAAATGTAGAACAGTTAAATGTCATCCGTCTCACAAGGAAACTTAAGAAACATCCATAGCTTAACAGCAAGGCTGTAAATACACAAAAGCATTCTAAGAAGGAACAAAGCTGACCTACACATACTGTTAGCAGACTCTTGGTAAGAGATCTGAATAATAATTTAGAGCTACAACATTCTATCATTATCATACTCTATGACTCTTTATCTATCTAAAACAAATATTTCATCACTCAGGAGATGCAGTGCACCAGTCATGCAATGTACCCTTCCCCAGGTATAGAATTAAGAAAATCTGTTTGTTAGAAGATGGTTATACGATGCAAAGACTAGAAATACAAAGCATCTCAGTATCTACAGGAATAAAAAAAACACGTTTTATGTAGCCTGCTAGATTTTCAGCCATCTAGAATCAATTTTATCAAGCTTTGAGTAGAGGGAAATGAAATATAATGCATTAAGCAAAGCAGTAATTGATTCTTTCCAGACATTGATACCTTTAAACTTTTGTAGTATATGGTCCTGTTGATCTCCAGAGGAAAGAGGTTTTGCTCCTTTCCTGAACGTGCCCAGTTTATATACCGCAGCCAGTTCCCTTTCTTTGGATCCGTTGCATCAACACACATCCACCCCAGGTTTGGGTAATACACCTACAAGAGAAAATCAGCATTTATCCCAAGCAAACTGCTATCTGTTTCTGTTGAAGTGTACGTGCACCAAAAGAAAATATACTGTAAAGCTACACAAAGCAGCAATCATCAACAAAGGACAGAAATAAGGCAAAAAAACACGAGCAGAGCATTTTTTACTGGATAGTTTTGCTGCTGCTTGCATTATTTTCAGACAAATTGGTATAACTGAAACAAACTGAACAACTTTTGGTCAACAAACCCTCCTGTGTCTGAAGGCTTTGGGCTCAAAAGCCAAACTAGTTAACACATTCTATGCTTTGCTTTCAATTTGCCATGCCTGATGGTGCTGGAACAGCTGCCCAGAGAGGCAGTGGATGCCCCGTCCATCCCTGGAGGTGTTCAAGGCCAGGTTGGATGGGGCCCTGGGCAGCCTGGGCTGGTATTAAATATGGCCCTGCATGTGACAGGGGCTTGGAGATTCATGATCCTCGAGGTCCCTTCCAACCTGGGCCATTGTGATTCTGTGATTCTGTGGAGTTTATATCTATTGTAAGGCTTGGTGTTATTATATAAATACAGTTGAGTTTTATTTTTGCCATCTGAGGAATCAGGAAAAAGAAATGACAAAGAACTTAGAAGCATTTGATTTATTTGGAAAGGTAAGGGAGGATACACTGTATATTTAATCTTGCTCAGGAGGACTGAAGAAAATCTTAATGTTTCAGTAGTCTTGTGATCAGATCTATGAACTTCTGAAGGTCCCAAGGTGCTGTGTAAATCTTTTGTTTCCATTCTTGGTTCAATGTTTTTAATGTTTACTCATGTTCAAGACAGCTTGCATTAAAGCAAAGATACTGGTAGGTCTTCAGTTATTTTCTGCTAACAGTCAGCTCTGCTTATCTTTCAAGAAATGTTAAATATTTCCCATGTTTCTTCTTATAGTCCAAGTTAGTCTTATAAGAAAAGCTGTCAATGGATGTTGTACACTTACTTTTTTCCAAATTGAAGAATGTTCAGCAATGAAAGCCATCATTTTCCCATTATTTAAAAACATTTTGTCTCAGAACATTGGCATATTGAGATACTGTGTATGATTAGAAGTACTGGGCAGCTCTCAGATTTTCAGAAACAACAAAAAAGTAAAGATATGAATTATTTGATAATGCTGTACTATTTGCTTTTTTTGCTTGTGGTTAAGCCTGCAGACATCAGCTTCCACTAGGAAGAACTCATCTCTTTCCAAGCAAAGAGAAAACTCCTTCCTTACTTAAACCACTCCGGCGTGGATTTCATCAGCTGACTTTTGAAAGAATTCATCAGCACACCCAGCCCTTGCAACATGAGAAAGCAAACAGCTTCACAGAAGGAGGTGGTTAAAAAGGAAGGAAACAGCCAAGCAATGCTTTGGGAGAGGTAGTAGATACGGCACGTGTGACAAAGCATAACACAGGATTGCTTTCTGGTCAAGTCACCTCATCTTCTTTGCTGCAAAATCTTGTGCACCGTGAGAGAGGAAATGGCTTCAGCTCCTCTGTATAACACTGCAACTTCCAATGACTCCTAAAACCCACGGTGAATTACAAATGGACCATCGTTCTGAGCCCTTCACAAGGTGGCATTTCCCTCAGTTTTCAGTCACTTGCCATTGTTTCCCTACCAGTGGCTTTTCTCTGACAGAAAATGAGAATGCCTTCAAGTCAACTGCTCTCCTGAGATACAGCAACCACAGACATCAACACAAAGCTCACCTATTCTAAATCATGTGGGAGATTGAAATCATTAAAAAAAAAAATTGAGATTTTCTTCAGATTAACTTCACTAAAATTAATTAAATTCCTGTGGAAAAGCTTTTCTCCTGGTTGAAAGTCCACACACTGCACTGCTCTCACACACCATCCTTTTACAATCAGATTTTCTAACAGTTAGGATGCTGGGGTGGTTTCAGATATCAACATATGGGAACAACTGTTGCAGTCTCATTTTAGCTGCCTTTTTTTTTTTTTTTTAATTCCCAAATCAGCGTTAAAGCAACACACAACTGCTTTGAAATCCAGGAGATCCTGTTGTTGCCTGCATTGCAAACTATGAAACTGTGTCAGTTTGTTTGCTGCTATCGTTTCTCAGCACAATTTTCCCAAAGACATTAAGGTACATCCAGTGAGAACATTGAAAATCAAGAAAAACAACCACAAGGTCAATAATTTACTGGACTGATCCAATCTCACTATGTGCTCGTGTAGCAGATCAAAAGTTGAGATACCTCATGCAGTAGAATTGGTAAAACAAAACACTAGTTTGATACAGCAAACATTCCACTTTACTTTATTACTTTCCTGGATGTGAATTTGCATTTATGGGAAATTATTCTAGCTCAGTTCCTCTGAGATGGCTTATCACTAAGCTCTGCATAGTTATCCAGTGTTTTATGTAGTTCTCTTTCTGCAGTCCAGAGGCCAGAAGGATGACTGCTATCAATCTCTTTAACCTAAAGATCTGTACATTAGCACGTTCTGAACAGAAATTGCCGTGCCAGAGTTCCTCCATCCCTCCTCCTTGACCATGCATTCTGCTAAAGCCACCTGCTGTGTGTAAACCTTCAGAAATAGTGATGTCATCTCTGGGAGTGCTTAGGAATGCCTTATTTAAAGACACTGTAGATAGAGTTTAACTCCAGATTAAGATACGACCTACACCTACACTCTGAAATCTACATAATATCTGAGGTCTTATGACTGTCAGAGGAGCTTGAAAAAACTATTCAGCTGTCCAGACAGTATTTGCTTTAAGGCAAACCCAAATACAAGCAGCACAAGAAATACTGAAACAGCTGAGAACTTTTATGAAAGCTGCAAAAGCAAAACCAATCCCCAAAACAAAGCTGTTTTTCAAAGAGCTGGATGAGGAGGAACACTGAGATTTCCTTAAGACTTTCCACATCCTTGCAGTTTCCCTCATTTCAATTAGTTAGCAGTACACAGCTGAAGAATGGACATTACTGCCTGTTCAAGCCAACAAAGCAAAGCTTTCTTTGTAGCAGACTCTTAAAGAAATGAGGGATCCACAGACAGTATGGGAGAAAATTCATACAGCAATCTCAGTTTCAATAGTTTAAAGCTTTGTAATTCAGAATCATTTCTCAACCCAAGTATCTGTAAATAGATTTGCAATGGTAACCACAGATATGCAAGTAGCAACTATTTTATGCCTAAAATCTCTAGAAAGGTAAATACAAAATACTGACCCAGTGACAGACACCTTTTTTATTAACAAGTTCTTCTTACCTCCCACATGTATACATTGCTCTTAACTTGAGATCTTTTCTTCTTGTCACCAACAAAGGGCCCGAATTTCTTCCCTTTTAAAATTGACTTTGTTGCCCAAACACCTGAAAGGATACATGTCAGTAATTATAACAAATCCAACTCAGCTGAAGAAAGATCTTCTATTCGCATTTCGTATCTCTTACGATCACTGCATGTGTCTGTCTCAGGCTGTGGTGTGCTCTGCACTGTTAAGATCACAACCAGGAAACTCAAGTTCACTATTAGTAATTCAAACAGCCACAGACGTCCCCAGAACTTCCCCCAGTCACATAAAGCTTAAGCATTTATCTGCTTTCATCCTTTGCTCCAGAGCTACTGTGACGACAAGAAGCGCCCTCGATTTCTCCTGCATTTCAAGCTCAAGTCAAAGCTCAAGTCAAAATACCATAAGGAATACAAGTCTTCTAACACTTCCCCTCCTACCTCACTCAGTTCCAACACAACACTCTCATTCAGACCATGCCAGATCAGATCCATACTAGAAAATATTAACCTTGCTCCAAGGAGTTTATAACCTGTTACCAACAGTAAACCAGGATATTCCTTAATCTACCAAGTTTTAACATCTAATATCCAATCTGCAACTCTAATTTCTAAGGTTCTCCCAGGTTAAACTCTGCTTAAAGAAAAAAAATCAGCATTCTGCATTATTACACAAACAATATATATATAGCAGCCAGTTATATAGTTCCATATAGCAGCTTTCAAGTCTGCACTGAATCATGTAAGAGACTTTTTGTACTGATTGGATAGTGAGACACAGCATTCTGAAGTGAAACAACGGTAAGATAGCAGCAAAAATACAAAACTGAAAGAAGTAAAAGTGCTATAAGTTAAGCAGCCAGTAAAGGAACACACCAGCATCTCCATGACCTAACCTCTTTGCATTCTGGTCCCAATTTGACCCTGATTTTGATCTTTTAGGAACATAATCTTGATCTGTTAGTAGGCGACCACTCCTTCCAATATAAATGGTTTCAGATCAACGCACCAGACATTATTTCTTCTCCATTCATTGCCCAGCATACAAAGGCACCAAACGTTCACAGCATCTGCAGCAAGCAATTTATGTGAGCCATTTTAAAAGCCTTCATTCTCTTTTTACAGTTGTGGCACTCACCAAGCCTTGTCTTGTCAACAGCAGATGGGAAGAGCCTGACATCCTCAGGAAGCCCCCGAAGCACGTGCTCAGGTACATCAGCTAAGGTCTCCACTGCAGCAGGAGGCTCGGTTGTGTTCTGCAAGTCAAAAACCAGAAGGGCCACAACCATTAGCAAAGAAAGAAAGAACAGCATAACAGCTGATCAACCTATGCAAGCTGTTGCTGAGAGTTTTTAACCCCTACTTTTACTCATAAGAAAAGTATCCGACTGCTGAAGTTAATGGATGTGACTTCAAACAGTGAGTAAATCTATCTGAAGTGATTTCCCTATTTCTCATAGGCATTTGCCATCTCATTTATTTTCTTTGGTTTCCCTTGCAACCAAACTCAAAATTCCCCCATTGGTTACTCGGGAAATACAGAGCTTAAGGTATTTGATTTATCTTATCCAAATACAGCACACCTGGCAGCACTGTTCCACTATTCCTAAAGGATGAAAGAAGAGGAATCGCTGTGGCTTTATACCCTGGAAATCATCTATCCATAATGTAATATTTACATAAGTTGATCTTTCAGGATATGGTTTTCATGTGCATTCATGCTTAGTGTTAAGTCTTTGAAAATGCTCATTAATATGGTGATCTAAAACTCATCCATGGACAGAAACACAAATAACTTTCAATTGCTCTATTTCATCTGATTAGTTATGCCATGAGAAACTACACTAAACAAGTAATTAAGTAACAGAACTGTTACATGCCACACTATGTTGAGACAACATCCACTCGAGCCATTTCCAAATAACATTCCTCCAAATTTCAGACCAAATACGTCAGATAAATCTACCTGCCTTATGACTGTGCTCAAAGAAGTTTGTCATCACATAGTTGTTGGTAGAAGCACTGCCTCCATTTTATCATCTAGCTGTTATCACAAGGAAAATTCCAGTTCCTTATAGTGAAGCATCACAATTATTTTGACTACACAAAGTATTTGTATCTATTTTTAATTCTGTTCCTGATGCCAGACTGTTCTCAGATTAAAACAAAAAACATGAAGTGCATAAACATAGCAGCTCCTTTGTAACCTGTCTGGAAAGTCTTACTCAACTGAAAAACTTGTAAGGGAGGTAGTTTTCTTTTTAAAGAATAATGAGAGCTACAAATATATATATACACACACACACACAGATCTAATCTTTTCTAAACTAAAAAAAAACTTGTTCTGAGGCTTGTTTGCATATTCCAGCTGCATGCTGTGTCTCAAATGCAATCTCTGTCTGCTCCATCCTCTTGGACCCAGAATGATGAGAAAAAGTGTCACAAAACATTTCAGGACACTTTGAGGCAGCAAAGCAATTTCTTCATTATAAGCCTCAGCAAAAAGCCTTCAGTAAAGGTGAATAGAATCACATGGGCTGGACTGGATCCACCTCCCATCTGTGGCACACAGCTCATCTTTATTGAAAGTGACAGCGTTAAGGAAAAGGATGACTTGAAAAACATTGCTGTGTTAATAACAATCCTTTTCATTTTTATGTTTGACTTGAGGTAACTCTCTGCCCCGGAAAAGCACTGTGACCTATCTGGCTATCTGTGACCAACAGCAAGAAAAACATGTTTAGCTATTAAAAGCATGTCTATTAATGGAGAGGTAGGAAATTAGAAGTAGTTGACATCTAAAAACATTTATTTGCAGTTAAGGTACAGCTCAAAGCTTGTTTTTGTTATTTTCTACGTTTTTTTGTTTTTTTCTTAAATCCTCCAATTCTTTTAAGTGAAAATTGAGATACACTGCAATTTACACTGCAATTTACACTGCAATTTCCCCATGAGCAGCCCAGGTTTGTGCTGTTGTGCTCACAGTGAGAGAACTGCTGCCCCAGTTTTGTGTGAGGACATGCTGAAGTTACAGAAGAAAGAGCAGCTCCAAATCCAGAGCACTCATGGGAGGGAGCAGAGCTGCTCATGCAGCCTTCCATTTTACCTTTGTCAATCATTACCTAAACTTGCACATAAAAGTTCCAACCAGAATACCCATGTATGCCTTGATGCATAAAGGAGAAAAGGATGCAAAGCTTCACTAACAGGAATAACTTGCCCAGAAACACACAAGGGATGGCTTTGGAAATACAGGGCAAAGCTGGAACTTCAGCTACCCACCACACTGAGAGCAACTGCATACACATCAGCAATTCTTTGTTTCCTCTTTTCAAGTGATGGCTTTCAGGTATTCTTGTTAAAACCCATCTCAAAAAAACACAGCAATCTAAAATAGCTTCTGGTGTTGCCTTCTTTCAGCGTGTATCTCTTGGGAGAAAGACCCAACAGAAATTCACAAAGAAAACAATATTTAAAGTTCTGAAAAATGTATGTAGTTCACACAAATGAAAAGTGATTTTTTCACCTGTAGAAGCTAGGATACAGCAGTAAACAAACCACTCCAATGTACATACCAGAATGGGAATTTGGGATACACCATCTTCTCTGCCACAAGCACAAACATACCCTGTGCTGCCCAGCCCGGGATGCCAGGGGACAGAGAGGAGCTCCCCTGCACACCCTGAGTCCAGTAACACATACATACCCCTCTGGTAGCATGGCTAACGCTGAAGCTTGCCTTGTAATGCACTTCCCAGAGCTACTGTTGGGTTGTTGTTCTCCTCCTGCTGCTCTGTTTACAGCCTACAAGCAAGCCATTTCACTCCAGAGATCAACCTCAAAGTACCTGCATGCCAAGCTTACTGCTCTGCTTTGAAGAGAATGACAGGTTGTAAATAGTGTCATAAAAGTTATTTCTGTGTTCTGTTCTTAATTAAACCAACCGTTCAGAACCCTTAGCCTGTAATTAATACGAACTGTTTTAAGGTGTTCAAATAGCTGGAGATGCAATAGAAAGCTAATAAGTGATTTATGGATGTTAAGTGATTAGCTTCATCATGTCCATTTTAAGGGATCTACAAGAGTCAATAGGCCGCTTGTAATTATATTCATACTATTACTCACATAATGTAAAATAGCAAGCGTTACTCACAGCTCTCACAAGACAACCAGCTCTTTAGTTAACAAGACACCTACTCCTGATGGAACAACCAGCATTGCAAAAGCCACAAGCACATACAGCCTCCCAGAAATGCATCCACATTATGAAAGAATGGTGCTTGGCACAAACGATGTGTATGCATATGCTGAACTTCATGCTACAGCCCTAAAACAGTATCTGCCCCTGACACTGAACTGTGACCACTCTGGGCAGTCACAAATACTGGTGAAGAAGGCAATAGCTCCTCTAACATGAAGGATGTTATATTTAAGTTCTGAAGAAACTTCAGGTGGTGTTAAATAACAACAACAACAAAAATCAGGCACTGCCACAGCTGTCCAAGTAAACTCCAACTTACCAGACATGACTCTTGCTTTTACTTGCAGCCATAAAGCAGAGATACAATAGCAGTCTTCATGCGCTGAGCTGAGTGTTCATCTATAACACCCAGCATTTTCCACTGAGCACTTAGGAGGCATTATGGAAATACATTTTTAATGTATCTCTATAGGCTACCACAGCTGAGTTTTTAATCTTTCAAAGAAAATAAAGCTTCTCCAGCCTCTTCTACTTCATATCCACACTTCAAGAGTGCTCAGTATGGCAACTATTCTCTTCTATATTTACGACTGGCTGAGTTAAGTTACAAGAATGTCTTCTGTCAGCTTTCTGCAACAGCGAGAAAAATGATAAAACTGGAGTCTAGCAATGTTACTCTGTTGCTGCCTTGGTAAGCCCTAACAGCTGCACAGAGACATCCTAGAGAGCTATTTGTAGGGGAGAAAGACCCCGAAATTGGAAACTGTGGAAGGAACAGAATGCCAGAAATCCCTTCCCATCCTCTAGAGTGAGGGGACTGGGGATAAAAATCCTTGCTCTTCAGTTATAATAGCTGAAAGTCTATTCACAGCAGAACTGCTTTATTTCCTTTTATTTTGCTCTTCCAATAGCCAGCAAGGAAAAACACAGATGAAAGAAGTTCGAGTCGGACATCTGTTAGCCTTGAACTGATAGGAGAGTCCACATCTGAGCGAGTTTCTTTTCTGTCTGCTCCTCTCTGCATCTCAAAGAGGCCCAGACACCCTCCCAGTATCCACCCCCCCACTTCATTAAGGGAGCACCATGCTCAGTTCCCTTCACAGCAGTTTGTAACAAATTACATATAGAATCATAGAATGGCCTGGGTTGCAAAGGCCCACAACGCTCATCTGGTTCCAACCCCCTGCTGTGTGCAGGGTCACCAACCAGCAGCCCAGGCTGCCCAGAGCCACATCCAGCCTGGCCTTGAATGCCTGCAGGGATGGGGCATAGATGAGAGGACAGCAGACACGGAACAAGACAGCTATGAGAACAATGCATTTGAAGCTTTAAGCTGACAAAACCTTTTTTTAAGCAACCACAGCTAAAGGAGCAGTCAAACAAGCCTACAACACAATCTGATCAACCAAAACTTTATAAAACAGACAAGTAAGATCAAAGTGCACAGCACTGGATCACATCCTACGACGTATCAGACATTTCCTAATAGTCATACCTCTTTTCAGCCATCAACATCCCATTTCAGAAATCTATTTGCAAGGAAAAGCATAGAATCAGAACTTTATTTAACATCTTCCTACAGAAATAAAAGCTCAGCAGCTGGACACAGCACTCTGACCCATTCCACACCAGTTATATCCACGGATTTTGCACATACCATAAAATTAGGCCCAGGATGTAAGAAGACATTTCACATCTCAAACATACTGTACAATGTATAGTTATTAATGTAAAATAAACAATTTAGTTCAGTCAAATCAGTGCATTCTAATTTTATTTGCAATTTAAACGCAGCTTCTTAAGACACCTTCCAGATCAAAACCTAAAGGAAGACCTACCTACCAAAGGAAGAAACAGTCTGATTTCAATTACTATTCCACCAACATTTAACAATCAGATTCAAATTGGTTTTCTTTCCTATGAAGAGAAGTTCACCTCCTGGTAAGAATACATACAAGCACACGTTCTACAGCCAGCACTGCATTAAACTGAAGACCTACTATGGTGTTTTTCACTCACACCAGCAATTCTGTTGCAATTCTGTTGAGTAGGTGTGCACTAGAAGCTTGTTTCCCCATTAAATGAGTACCTCTGAAGTTCACCAAAGACATTACACTGTCAGCACTCAAACCAGAAAGAGTGAAGTGACCTAAGAACAATGCAAAGATGGTTGGAGGGCTTAAAGGTGCCTTAACTGAAGCTTTCCTTTCCTGTTTGCATCCAATTCAGAGTCCAGGCATTGGATAGTACCTTTCAGCACACCTCTGTAATTTTTATGTCACTTTCAATAGGAACAGTACCTGCAACAAGATGCTTACAGGTGATCAGTTGGAACAAAAAGTGAAAGAAAAAAGAAATAATGCTGAATGATGTGAAGATTGGCAAACAGTTTGATGGAAACAGGAATAAGAGGAATGAAGAGAAGATGCTGTTCATAGAATCACAGAATGGCCTGGGTTACAAAGGAGCACAGTGCTCACCCAGTTCCAACCCCTGCTGTGTGCAGGTCACCAACCAGCAGCCCAGGCTGCCCAGAGCCACATCCAGCCTGGCCTGGAATGCCTGCAGGGATGGGGCATCCACAGCCTCCTTGGGCAACCTGTGCCAGTGCCTCACCACCGTCTGGGTGAAAAACTTCCTTCTCATATCCAACCTAAACCTCCCCTCTGTCAGTTTAAAATCATTGCCCCTTGTCCTTGAGTGTCCCTTGCCAATGAAGTGACAGGGGCAAGGCAAAGGTGACAGAAGGGAGTTGTGAAAGGGAAACAGAAACCAAGAGCTAGCACATGGCAGGCACAAGCAGGAGTCTTCTATCAAAAACCCTATTGAACTCACCCCAGTTTTACTGCACGTGCTTGAAGACTGAAGATGTATTAGAATATTTGAATTAATCCATTTAAAAACTCAGAAGGCACTTTAGTACAAGTGCAGGTGTAATTTATCTTATGCCTACATTAATTTTGCAGTAACTTCCCACTCAGCGTTCCATGCGACTTTCTCCCTGCTTTATCTTAACTCAGGCTGGGATGCAGTAAAAGCTACTGATCAAAACCCCATGCTTGCTTGCTGGGTTTTGTTTGTTTGTTTTTAATAAATTATTCAGAGCATTCTGATGCACTTTACACATAAAAGGAAAAATCTGTTTTAAAAAGAGATAGAGAATGCATGTCATCTATCCTGAGATGCAATCTTCCTTGAAAGGCAAAAATATTAACTCAAATAAGAGGTGTATTATTATTTGGTTTTTTTTTAAATCCTTTGTAACCTTACTGGAAGGAGACCAGAACAGTTCATGAAAAGGATTTTTTCATTTCAACAGAAGGAGCAGTCCTTTCATATAAGCAAAATTAACAATAGCTGATTAGTTTCAGGGTCACTGAAGTCACACCAAAAGCAAAGATAAGCAGAACAAAAGAAGTGAGAGCAGAACACCTGAAAGATGTTTGGCATCAGGCATCAAAGACATGCCTCATACAGACCTGGCACTACAACTTGTCAACAGTGAATGAAATTACAAGGGCACTGCAAGAAAAAACACCACGGGTTTGATGCTAAGTACACACTCAGTATGAATGGTAATTGAACAATAAAAAGCCTTATGAGCTCTGTACACTTTGGAAACTAAAGGCAAAAGGCAGAGATGCCAAGGACTCGAAGCTGTTGTAACTCTCCCCAGAGGCAGGGTGATCTCTGTATTGAATTGTAAGGTAATAAACGTCACAGCACTGCACCAATGGTGTTAACAATCCAGGTACGAAGGACGAAGATTTCGTTTTATACAGTGCAGAAATTTTGTTCAGTCCTAGAAAGGGAGCAGCGTTGGTGGAATGAGGAAACCAAACGGGAAGGAAACAGCTAGTGATAGCACAGATTAACACCAAAATCTTTGGGAGCGAGTAATGAAGCAGAAGGACTATTGCCTGAGCAGAACAATAAGCTGTTGGCTTCATGCCACAGCACCTTGGAAATAAACCTTACAGGGGGAAAAAAAAATCAAGTCTCAAAAGAAGGAAATGATGAAGCAATAGTTATCCTCGCTACCCCACACAAGACCACTCAACTTCCACAGGGTGCACACAGAAACGTTCTTTGCATGATACATAATGCGTATTTGTGCACATATAATACATGTACATATATAATACATAATAAATGTACTCTCTAAATCCATGACAATACTGACAGAGTTCCTATTTCGCTTTTTGTTTTCTTAGTATTTTTTTTCCCCTCCCCCCCCACTTAAAATCAGAGCAATTGGAGACATCCTACCATATAATTCCTCACTTAAGTAATTGTATTTGCACTCCTATAACTTCAGTGGTGGAATATACTTCAGCAGAGTGCTAATTGTGCCAATAATGATCAATTAAGGGTTTAAAAGCAAAAAAAGTAATTCATTAGGAACAGCACTGAAAAAAGCACACAAAGCATTTTGCATCACTGTGTACTGTGGCTGTCCCTGGCTAACAAGAAGCTTCTGTTCACAGTCATCTTTTTAGCAAATTGAGGACTGGCATTCCTTCATGGTAACACCCCATGGTCACACTCCCATGTCAAGGGGACTCGGTAAGACAATCCAAACAGACAAGCACTTATGAGCATAATTTAAGGTAATATTTCCTCTGTCAACAGCAAATACACTATTTTTTCTGCTTGGACAGACAGATAAAAAAATAAATGAAACCAGGCACACTTGACACTGATTAAAACAACACTCTCCAGGGCATCCAGGACATTCTGGCATCCATGTAGTAAAGGATGCACCCCAAAATAAATGCCCTTTTCCAACCTTTTCACTTGATTCAAGGGAAATACTCTGGTTCCAGAGCAGTGTGAATCGTCCCAATCAACCAATTTCTATGGCAGAAGCTGCTCACTGCATGTTTGAAATGATGCAGTGGTCTAAAAGGTGAAAAATTGAAGTCTTTCATTTCTTTTTTGACTTTCCATGTTAACACTGAGCTGTTCTATTAACCAAGTATTTTGATAAAGTCCTCCATGGAAACTCACCTGATTCATTCTGAATTCCAGTTGCGTTCTGAGCAGACACACACGACACAGGAACTCCTCTGATTACATGAGCCCTACAACGAGAAACAGACAATTGTGAGGCCTACCTCACAATTTACATTGTTTACATTGAACCAAATTTACCAGTTTACATTGAACTGAAAGTACACAGAGCTCAAGTTGCTCTTCCTAAAGGGCTGTTCACAACGCAGCACACTGCTTTACACAAGATCTGCTCCAAGCTATTGGTCAGTTATCGTAGCTCAGAATAATGTCACATCTAAGAGTTTAATATAGTAATTTGCCTTTTTTTTTTTTTTTTTTTTTTTTTTTTTAAATACACGGAGGAAATAACACAGCAAGTGACATTAGACACCATCCTGTTGTCAGTAGTTGAACTTCTCGGAGGCTGACTGGTACTTACCCACAAAGCATTTCATTTAAGTGCTGTTATTTCTTCCCAACTATTTATTGTTTTCCACATAACAATCACTAAATGATTTTACTGTTAGTGTCTATACAAAGCATTTCATTTAAAATCTGTTACTATTTCCAGCCACTCCTGGGATGTCAAATCCAATCACGGCAACAACATCACTGTCTCTCCAAGCTCTCCTGCAGTTGTTTCCAACACATCTCCCACATGCCATGTTCGCCCCACAGCCTTGACAGCTTAACTCGTTTTCCCTCCTGACAAATGTGATTTCTGCTTCTGCCCTGGACAAATGGTTTCTGAAAGGCGGTCAGCAGGCTGCTGTCACCTACTGGAACTGCCTGCGCACATGGAGGTGCAGATTTAAGGAAAAGCAAAGCTGGAGTCGTGTACACTTCTGCACTGGGATGATGCAGGAACAGGGAAATGCAGAGCTCTTTCATTCTGTGCTCACTTGGGTGATGTCTGCTTCATGGCAATTTGTAAATCAAGTATTCTGGATGGTATTTCCTAGTGCGAATAATACCTGATTCTTGGGAAGAAATATTTGCTTTTTTCTATATTTGGCTAGGATGTTAAAGGCTTTATTCACATAAAGACCTCAAAAGCAAGAACATTTTATTCATTTCAGAGCACTGAACTACAGCTGAAGGATGTGAGAACACATCTGTGGCACCTGCTGCCTGCTCATCCCTTGCCTCATGTGATCTGCAAGGGCCGCCCCACCTCTAATGGTTCTGTGATTAACAGCTCAGCAATCTTCTATCAGACCCACCACCTATCATGGCTCTGGAAATCAACTTAGAAAGCCTGCTTTAAGAAGTGCCCAGGCATTATGGTGCACTCAGTGAGAGTCATCTTCAAGTACGTTCGTCATTTTCAACACTGAATGAACTAGGAAGGCATTTAACTCATAATTCTAGCTACACAAATACAACCAGGCAGAATTCAAGGGGTGTTTTACAGAAGCAAACATTCAATATCACTACTCATCCACTACATGCAGTGGTTGGTGACCCTGCACACAGCAGGGGGCTGGAAATAGGTGATCATTGTGGTCCTTTTCAACCCAGGCCATTGTATGATTTTATGTATATTATTATTCAACTTCCATAGAACTGGCTGTATCCAAACCTCTCACTGAGCCTTCATACAAAGTGACCAACCTCACAGAATGATGTACTTAAAGCTCAGCTCCAAAACAGGCTGTGCCCTGGACTTTAAGCTACAAGTTACCAGAGGAATCAGTTCATCAGAAAGTATAAGATGAGAAATGAAGCTGTGGTAATCAAAAAGCTGCAATAACTACTAATAAAAGTACCAACTTAAAGCACCCGTTTCACCTTGAGATTGGATTCCTGCTGCTCTGATAGGTAGTTTTTAAGTTGCAGAGCTCACATCACTTATCTGAAAACATTTCCGCATTTTCTTTCCTTTTTAACGACGAAGAAAATTGTGTGGAAAGGCTGACTGCACTAAAAAAAAGAAAACAACTTCAGCCTACATACACCTTACGGAGTCACTGGTTTAACCTCTAGCTGCGTAAAAATGACCTAAGAACAGAAAACAAAGCATTCGTAACACAGAGTTTCATTTTTAACTTCCAGTTCCACAACAACGTGGACGTATGACCCAAACCACACAAACACAACACCCACCAATCGGAATTTTTAAATTAATTTCCAGAAAACCAGGGCATATTTATTCCAAACCACCACCCACGGTGTATGCCTTGAGCACAGCAGGCTCACAAGATACTGAAGCAACAGAGAAACAAATCAGAAAAGTCAGATCTATTGCGTGGCGTCATCCTAATCTCTGAAAAATTCATTTAGAAAGGCTCCTTAGAAAGTCTTCCTTGGAATTAACGTTGCTAATTTTGTATAAAATTAGTTACTTTTATGTGTGTTACGGATTGGTTGGGTCAGCATTTCCAGTAAGTGCTTCCAGTGGCTGTGCTGACCCATCCTCCTTCTGCTTCTCCAAGGCGCAGTTATCATCTCTAGACGACGATTCTCTCACTTTGAGAAGGAATACTGCTTCCATTTCAGAGGAAGGAAAAATAAACAGGCGTGAGAGCATCAGTCCTGTTTTGGAAGCTGAAAATGGGACACGCATTACGTCTCTGTCCAGGTAAAAACACATCAATTACAAAGCTGGAACAAAACCTGAAAGCCTCAGCAGCCTCTTCTCCCAACCAGGCTCCAGGCTGGGAAACTGCAGGATGGTAGAAATGATCTTTTCCTTTGCTTCAGCTTTTAATTATAGCAGAGGAGTGATCATTATTTTTTTAAAACATCTGGGTGCTTACCTTGTTGCACTCCAATCCTACAATAACATCCTACATACATTTGCAGCATGTTAGGTTAAGGAAAGCTTCCAAAAAAAAAAAAAAAAGCATGTTAACACTGAAGATTAATACGTACAAACTTGACAGAACCAACAGTGCTATCTATGGGCACTGGGGTGTAATGAAGCTTTCAGTTACTGTAGAGTGCCACATGAAAATGGAGAAAAGTGGGCATAAAATGATGAAAGCACCAACATCTGTTGCCTCTTGCCTGATAAAAATAAAAGTTTTGCTTAGTGCTTGGTAAACAAATAAGCTGTAGGTATTAAGAGAGTTTATTCAGTAACCACGCCAAGAAATTCACACAGAGATGAACCCCACGCTCTTCACCTTCACATATATTTTTCTAAAAAAAAAAAAACAAAACACAACACTTCATCCTCATGAAACAGCAACTAATCAAAAGAAGCAACAGAAAATGCCAAGTGCCTGATAACTGCTAGTACACAGAAATACTGCTCCAGTTTCAGACATAAGTACACCTCTTCATTCTGTTTGCAAAGGCAGTACATTCAAATGACAATTTTATCAGACAAGTGCATTGCAGACTCACAAGCACACGAAACAACCTGTTCCAGTCATTTCACAATGCAGGGCTGCCTCCCACTTCTGTCTGCAAGCATCTTTTATACAGAGGCAAAAAGAAACAAAACAACATTTTTCAGCTAGGAATACATTCTGAGAAAACACAGCACTGGTAAAGAAAAGCATTCCGTTTTGGGGACGATGTTACATAGCAGGGTCACATCTGCCCCAGCATGTGCCAACAAATTCAACACAAAATGCACTGCAGTGCTTTAAAAATGCTGTGACACTTGCCAGGACCATGCATAGTTCAAAGATTCCTCCAAATAACCTGAATTAAGTCAAAATAAACATAGCCAAGATGAAGAGCGCTGCACTGAATGACTGGTATCTTTTCTATACTGTGTTCACATGGAAAGATGGCCATGTGTGAAGAATTAGTGAACTTGTGATTTTGTGAGGGCAACACACTCCAGCAAGTATTACTCAGTATGGGAAATAGAATGATTTGCAGGGGTAAAAGATTGGGCTGAATTACAGAACTCTAACAATGGAACAGTAAATCAAAAGGGGATGGCACAAAGCATAATCAATTCTTTGAGATGTGGAGTTGTTAACTATAAAGATCAAAGACTCAGGAGGAAATACAAGGAACAAGGTATCCCAGTGCGGATATTCAACATGCATCAGCTTGTGACCTCGGGCTGTTTGTAAATCTCTGACAAAAACAAAATAACCCATCAAATTAGCAGTCTCCAATCTGCAGACGTAAGCAAGTGGCTCATGATGAAAAAGGCACCACACTGTTGCTGCAAGGCATAGCCTACATTTCCATCCTCTCTCCCAGCTGAGACTCTTACTTGCACATACGGCATGAGCACCAACCAGTGGCTGTAGACTGGTGATAGGCAAAAACTTTACTACAAGTGTTACCTCTAAATCACCCTGAACTTGTTTTAAGAGACTGACTTCTAGTGCAGGACAGTATTTAGAACTCCTTTTTACATATTATCACTTTTGTCACCCCACAGTGATTGTTTGCCCTTTATTCCACATAAGCAGGGTTCCACTAGAAACAAAACTTGATCTCTTTCTTATGTTCTGAGGCATGGGGTGGACGGGCTCCCAGCAACCCTGGGAGGACAACAGTGAGCTGAACTATGTGTCTGAAGACAGGTACATAGAGATAGGACAACGAGGAATGGCTTCAAACTAACACAGGGGGGAGATTTAGACTAATGTCAGAGGGAAATTCTTTACTCAGAGGGTAGCGAGGCCCTGGCACTGCTACCCAGAGAGCTGTGGATGCCCCACAGGTGATCAAGGCCATCGATGGGGCCCTGGGCCATCTGAGCTGACACCTGATTTAGTGGGCAGTATCCCTGCCCTTGGCAGAGGGGCTGGAACTGGATGATCTTGGAAGTCCCTTCCAACTCATTCTATGAGAAAACCAAGCACACCACACAGCTCATTTAACAATCCCTATACGCTGAAAGATCTTTTTGGTTCTCATAGGTCTCCACTGATCAGCTTCGTCTCAAGTATTGTATCAGGAAGGCCAGCAGCCCCACCACCACTGGGAGATGCCCGTTGTTGAGTACTGAAATGTAAAGTAAGGAAAATGCCTTTTGTCACCGAGTGCTCAGATAAGAGGTACAACATCACCATCCTCTCAATCTTCAAGTGTTACAAATGATTCAAAGTATTCTTTACTACTTCAAAATGGATCTTTGGCAGCTTCATAGGAACTTAAAACCATTAAAAGCTCCACAGAAGACCATAGCTGCAAACTCATGAGGTGCTCACCAGCAGGGCTCCACCTTCGCCTGTGGCATCAAATGATGTCTCAAAGACGCTGTCTGACCTGTCACCCCTGTCACAGTATCACTGCACTACAGCACAGAAACCCCAGGGTTGGGTGAAATAGAATCATAGAATCATTAAAGTTGGAAAAGACCACTAAGATCTTAGAGTCATAGTAAATGGCCTGGGTTGAAAAGCACCACAGTGCTCATCCAGTTCCAACCCCCTGCTGTGTGCAGGTCACCAACCAGCAGCCCAGGCTGCCCAGAGCCACATCCAGCCTGGCCTTGAATGCCTGCAGGGAGGGGGCATCCACAGCCTCCTTGGGCAGCCTGTGCCAGTGCCTCACCACCCTCTGGGTGAAAAACTTCCCAACTGTCCACCTCCCACCAGCATCGCACACTAAACCAAGTGCAAGTACTACATCTTCAGTGACCCCAACACATCCCAGAGCAGCCTGTTCCAGTGCCCAACCACTCCTTTGGAGAATTTTTTCCTAATATCCAACCTGAACACTTCCTGGAGCAACTTGAGGCCATCACCTCTTGTCTATCAGCAGATAGAGCAGAGGCTGAGCTCACCGCACCACAACCTCCCTTCTAGTCCCTATAGAGGGCTAGGAGTTCTCTGAGCCACTTCTCCAGATTGACCCATCAGATCTGCATCACTCAGTGCAGCACTGAGCTTCAGAACCCTCACTGCTCCATTCCCTTTTCTGCACACACTTCAGGGCCTCCATGCCTGTACTGCAGTGAGGAACCCAACACTGCCCACAGCACAGAGGGATGATCAACTCCTGCTGGCTGCACTGCTGCTGATATAAGCCAGGATGTTTGTAGGGACTCTTTGAAATGGTAGATAACAGCAGGACAAGGGGAAATGGTTTGAAGTTGAGGGAGGGAACACTAAGGTTGGATGACAGGGGGAAGTGCTTTACAGAGAGTGGTGAGGTGCTGGAACAGCTGCCCAGAGAGGCTGTGGATGCCCCGTCCATCCCTGGAGGTGTTCAAGTCCAGGTTGGATGGGGCCCTGGCAGCCTGGCCTGGTATTAAATGTGGCCCTGCAGGTTGCAGGTGACTTGGAGATTCATCATCCTTGAGGTCCCTTCAACCCAGGCCATTCTATGATTCTGTGATGCTGATGGTCTTTTGGCCACCTGCACACACTGCTGGCTCCCCCCGATCCTTTCCCTCAGTGCAGCCTTCCAGCCCTGTAGCAACGCATGGACTTGCGATGACTGCAGCCCAGGAACGGGCACTCGTTGCCGTAGACCTCAGCCCGCCCACGACCCTCAGTCAAACCGTCCCACCTGCAGGCACAGAACCCGCTGTCACCTGCAAACTTCCTGAGGGAGCCCTCGGCCCTTCACCCACACCGTCAACCCCGGCACTGAACATCACGACCCGCACTTCCGACCCGCCCGGCCGCACCCCCCGCTCCCCACAGCCCCACAACCCGGGCCCCTTCCCCGCCGCACCCCCGGCTCCGCACCGCTGGCTCTGCCCACCGCCTCCACAGCCCGGCCCGCCCTCCGGCACAGCAGCGCCCGCGGGGCCGCCTCCCTCTCACCTGCGAGGCTACCGCCGCCTCCTCGTTGTCCTCCTCTTTCTCCTCTATCCGCGGCCCGGCTCAAAAAGGCGCGGAACGGCCTCAGCTCCGGTACCGTCCGGACGCCATTTTGTCTCCAGCCTCGGAAGTGACGTTGGGGGGAGGCCAGCGGGCAGTGCCCCCCGTAGCGGGACCCCCTCCGGAGCGGGGCCGCCCCCGCTGCCCCCCGGCTCCCCGCTTCGTCCCCATGTTTACCAGAGAGCGCCTCGGCTCGTCCCGTCTGCCGCAGCCTGCCGTCCTCCTCGCCGCGGCCTCCGGCATCCGCCCTCATCCCCAGACAATGAGCTGTGGAGGAGAGCGGGTTCTCTTGCCCTATTGTGGGGTTTTCTGTCCTCTGTGGTAAGAGTTTGCTATTTATTGTGTGGAAATAAAAAAAGAAAAGAAAAAAGAAAAGAGCGAGGAATGAGGAATTCTAGCAGCAGGATGGAGTCATTAAGCTAATGTAGGAGATTGAATATAGGGATTACTTTGTGTTCCATTGATTATTTCGATGTGGCGCTCGTTGCACGAGTCCATCAAGGAGAAATGTTAATGATGTGGATGCGCAGAGAAGCTGTGGTGCCACGGCAGCAGGGAGCTTCCTCCACGAGCAGACAAGATCCCTGCTGAGCCTTTCTTGTCAAGCTGGTGCTTTCTGACAGCCTGCTGAGGGAGCAAGGATGGTCGGTCTGCAGAACAGGAGCTGCAGGGCAGACATCATCGCTCCGTACAACTCCTGAAGGAAGGCTGTGATGAGGCAGGGTTGGCCTCTGCTCCTGGCTGGCAGCGATAGGAGGAGAGGCGATGGCCTCAAGGTGCAGGTTGGATTGTAGGAATGATTTTTTTGTCAGAGCGGTGATGTGCTGGCACCAGCTGCTCAGAGAGCTGGTGAAGACACCGTCCTTGGAGGTGTTCAGTGTGGAGATGTGGCACTGAGGGATGTGGGCACGGTGGGGGTGGGTTGTGGTTGGACTTGGGGATCTTGGACGTCTTTTCCAACTTTGATGATCCTATGAGTGTAACCCACTGCGTTTCCAACAAGGATAGCTGCAAAAATGAGCTTTCAAGTGCAAGGAGGACGTTGACTGCAAAGTCAGAGTTTTAATGCCTCTGTTGTAGTGTGCAAATCCATCAACAGACAGCAGGCTGGAAGTAACAGGGTGCAGTGATCTTCCTTCATGCACTACCCATAGTACACACCTTTCTAACTCCACAAATACTGAGGATAAGTTTTTTCAAAACTATCATAAATAAGTTTAATACAAATCAAGCTATTCTTAAGATCCTACAGTCATAGAATGGTTTGAGTTGGAAAGGACTCTCAAGGCCATCAGGTCCAATTGCATTGCAGTGACCAGGGACACCCACAGCTCCATCAGTGCTCAGAGCCCCTCCAGCCTGACCTTGGGTGTCTGCACCACTTCTCTGGGCAGCCTGTGCAGTGCCTCAGTGCCCCTAGTGTAAAAAACTTCTTCCTTACATTAAAAAAAAAAAAAAAACAAAAAACAAAAAAAAACCACAAAACACTTAACCAATTTACAACACTAGAAAAAGTTCCAAGAAGAACCCAAGCTCCAAGAATCCCATTTAGAAAATAAAGTGGTTTGTCATTTTCTTAGGCCTTTTTAACTTCTTTTTCTGTATTCTAGAAACACTGAGACTGTAAACTGGGCAGCGCAGTTACCAGCAAGCCAACCCGTACACTTATAGCACTAGCTACAAAACACTCCTATCTTTCTCATTTTCATAGTTTATTTAATTTATTTTGAATTTCTAATTCATTACTCAAGTAGTTACACTTCTTTAAGCTGAAAGAAGCAAAGCTTTTCTGTTGAATACTAACATTACTTCTCTAGGCAAGGAAAAGGGTTTGCTTGGCTTTCTCTAGTAATAGGGTAAGAATACAGTATAGCTAAGATAGGTCTGTTTTATGTTTGGCTTAGTTGGAGATTTTATGAAGCTTTTTATTTCAGTGTATGTTATTATTTAATGCTTATTCTTGAACAGCATTCTAATGGATTGTCTTTAAAACTGTCAGTTGTTTCTACTCAAAACTGGTGTTTTACTTCTCATTGCCTGGCAGCATAATGCTGGAACAACCTGGAATTTGTTATAGAATTGAGGGATGGCTTGGGTTGGAAGGGAGCTCAAAGATCATCTACGTCCAATTATAGATGTATAATTCTTTATTAATGCCTCTTAATTCAATGTTATTTTTAGTGCTTCTTGTTTTATTAACTGTTTGTTGTGCTCTATGTTGTAGATGAAGAAAGAACTCTTGAAAAGCTGAAGCTCTAAACCGCATGGAAACAAGGTAGTATTATTCTAGCTGCTTACTTCTAGAGCTTGTAACTGCAGCTGATTAAAGGTCATACCTTTGTGGTAACAAAATCAGTTGGTTTTTTTTTTTAGGCTTCTTAATATTCTTAGAAGTTTTATGTTGCTATTTACCTTAAAATAAAGAGTTGGAATAATAAGAGAAGCTTAGTACCTTAGGTCTGTTAAAAACTTAAATGATCACTGTTATGGGTAAGTTTAGAAAAAAAAAAAGCCTTATCAGCTGAAGAGCTCCACTAATTGTGCTAAGACATGATAGGCTTGATTACTGATTGGCATTATTTAATTTATTAACTAAGAGATTATTGCTTACAGTTATTTTCAGGAAAGATTAGTTTGCTTTTTTAAGACAAGATCCACAGAGTAGAAAACGATTCCTTTTGGCTGCTGGAGATTCACAACTCCATATCTGTTTGAATTACACATTTCCTTTCTTTCCAAAATTCAGGGGGACAGAAGAAATATGAAGAAATGAAGAAGCGTGGAAGGAATGTGAGAAGAAAAAGGTAAAGCATTTCTGTCCTCTAGAGTTCTATTAGAGCATTCCAAAACGTTGTACTGAGCCTGTGTGAATTTGTTAAAAATGTATTACTGGAAAATAAAAAGAATGATAGGTGTAGAATTTAAACCCTTCAAAACAGAGAGGTTGGAGCTCTCTCGCACTAAGGTAGCACTCTACTGGGGGAAAACAAATAGTTGTAAAGCTGTCTGCTGAGTTCTGACTTACTGGAATTCGGAGATCAGGGAAGATCTGGGATTTGGGCTGAGGTCTTCATTGATTCACGTTGAAAATGAGGTTTTAAGTTGCATGATGGTTTAAAGGCCTAAGAGATGGTCTTGGCTGAATGCTTTTCTTTTCCTTAATTGCATATTCTGAGTGTTGATTCCTAAGTCGTTTATTTTGTACCTTGGTGTTGAAGGAGGTAAGCTGGACTTCATTAGCTCCTTCAGTCAGTAAAAAAGATGTGTTGAGAACTGAGCTGACAAAAAGTTGTTTTTGTCCAAGTGCTGCTTGGGCAAATCTGAGACCTCAGCTGGCTGAGCAGAACCAAGTCACTTTCTGGTCAACTGAGAAAAGGCACTGGGGGTCCTGTGCCAATATATGAAAGGAGACAGCAGCTTCTGGAGGGCCAGTATGAACCTTGGTTAGTCACACTTCCATACACTGACTGGGGGAAACTCTTAAACCTGCTTTTCTAATGCAAGAATGCATCTGTGTTGTGTTCAGGAATAACTGTGTGTCCAGTAATGCTTTTGAGGCATTTTTTCCATGGCTGTATCTTGGTGTTTTCTTCAAAATAAATAATTGAAGGCATCTTTAAGCTTTCTCGTGGATCTGAACTGTTAAAATAATCCAATGGATGTGACCAATAGTAGTTTTTCCTTCAGACTGTGACTGAAAAAGGAATTTGGTGCCTCATTCAGTACTCAGATGTTTCCTGCAGCCTGTCTGCAATCTGGCATTTGCATCTCAGTAATGAATAAGTAACAAATGTGTATGACAGACACCAAGCCAGCCATGGGGCTCACTGGGGTTAGTATGAGAATGTGAGTGGTGAATGCCAGTTATGTGGCTGTGACAGTAGGTTCTCAGGTACTGCACTGGTGAAATTAGAACTTGTTCTGTGCAGAATAGAACAAATCAACACCTGAAGGATGCAAATAAGTCATGTTGCAAATACAACAGTGGCTGTTTCAAATGCTTGATGTGTCTATAAGGGCATCCTCAGATAATAACTGTGTGATAGCAAATCTCCTGCAAATGCAGACTTTGCTTTTGAAACTGCTTGAAGTATTTTAGCCTTGGTTATTGAGCTGTAATAGTAACACCAATCTCTTTAGCTGTCACAAGAACTCTCAGCCAAACAAAAGTAGGCTTGAAGATTTGCAGAAACTTGATACATAATGTATGATTTGTCAGCTCAGTATTGCATGTCTTGAACTACAGGGATTCCAGTTGTTTTCCTTTGGGGCCTCACTGGTAGTTTCTCAGGCTGTATTTTTGGCATATCCTATCGCTGTTCCTCTAAGCAGCTGTGCTTTGCTCAAGTGTGAATAGGCTCTTGCTGTTATTCAACTAGCTGTCACTCAGCTAGGTTCTATATATTTAGGCCTGCATTCTTTGACCAAAATACCTCTGAACTTTATAGTATATTCTGAAAGATTCTAAGATAGAGACACCCAAAATCCCATAGCCAAGTGTGCTTTCTCCTGTATTCTTGCTGATTATTAAAGTTCCAAATCACACTTTACTGTACTAGTGTGATGCACTGAATATATAGCTTCTAACTGTAAAGTATGGAGCAGAAATCTGTAGTAAAATAGTATTAATCTGTAGCAAAAGTTAAAATATTACTGGTTGGAAGTCATTACACATTAGAAATTCACATTTATAAATATTTCAGCAGCTGGCTCTTGATGTAGCAGTCTTCCATGTATAAATCCTGTGGCTCTCAAGCTGCTTGTTTAAATTATGAATGTCTCTACAGAGCTTACTACATCATACCTCTGTGAATGATAAATGCTTCAGTAACCTAATCAGATCTTGTTTTTAAGGTATCCAAAACCAGTGAGATTAAAAGATAGGCAGCATTAAGGAGGTAGGTTCTTTTTATGGTGAAAAGAGCTCAGTCTATCAGCCTTTAATTCTATAACTCCATCAATTTCTTGTGGTATTCTTCATCCATTGGGGCACATCAGTGGCTCTGCAGTACTATTATTTTCCAGACCTCATTGAACCTCAGGGAGCAGG